GCTGTGGGTTTGTCATATATGGCCTTTATTATGTTGAGGTACTTTCCTTCTATACCCATTTTATTCAGAGTTTTTATCATAAATGGATGCTGTGTCTTGTCAGATGCTTTCTCTGCATCTATTGAGATGATCATGTGATTTTTATTCTTCATTTTATTAATGTGGTGTATCACATTGATTGATTTGTGATGTTGAACCATCCCTGCATCCCTGGAATAAATTCCACTTGGTCATGGTGTATGATCTTTTTAATGTATTGTTGTATTCCATTTGCTAGTATTTTGTTGAGGATAGATCTTCTTTCTATATTTTGGCAAAAGTTGCTAAAAGATCTCTGGCGCTGGAATTACTGCTGGTTGCCTCTGCTATATATTTTGAGAGTCTTTGGGCTGCATTTTTCTCAGAATACTTAATTTTATTATTTACCATTTTTAAAATTCTGGCTTTTGACACATTTTAAATCCTAGCAGGAGTTTTAACCTAATTCTAAAAAGTACCACATGCATAGCCCTCTAATAAAGATGTTCTCAGAGTGGGGTAGCTTGGCAGTTAGATTAGGAAGCAAATGGAGGAAAGAAGTTTGAAAGGTAAGAATAGGGATGATGGTAGGAGAAGAGAGAAAAAAGAGATTACAATTACTATAGTTTATTAATTCTGATATGCATTTTTCTCATATTTGTATCTCTGAAATAGTGATATATTTTATAATTGTTGTCTTAGACCACTCTAGACTGAGTGGCAGTTGTGACATAGTTGTCAGTGGCCACTCTTAAGCAAACTTGGTCATAATTGTTAATACTGTCATCAATTCAGTTAGGTGTACTGTTGGTATGTAGTCGTTGAGTTTACTCTCCATTTTAAGTATCCTTTAAAAGATGATTTAGCATTAAAATGAAAAATTACTATGTATGCAGAAATACAGAGAAACAAGAGTGTATAAGGTGAAAATAGGGCTAAATTTACAGGATGCAACTAGGTGATAAGAAAGCATTGGGTTAGTTAAATCAGCCGTGATTTTTTCTTAATGGTACATAAAATAATAGAGCATCTTATGATTGGAGCCATTTTACAATTGATGGCATCTTAGATTTGACAAAATACAGCACTTCAAGTGTCTAGGAAGAATATAAATTTTTTCCTAATTGCAATTCTGAAACAGTGAAATTAGGGTTTTGGGAAGTAGAGAGACACTCTCAAATTTTTGTAGAGTTCCTATACTATAAAGTAAATTTGAAAATCTGCACTTAAAACTTTCATTTCAAAGCAATACCTTATTTGTTTATATTTGGTTCCTAACTTTGAGAGCCTGGGGCAGGGGATTTGTTATTTAAAATAAATTACTGTCAATTCAGAATTAGAGTGGGGAGGACAACTGAGGAGATTGCTGAAGTAAAGGTGAGCCATTTAGAAATGATAGAATTCTCAGAAATAATCTTTTATGTGTGTGTTTCATTGATTAAGATGTAGTCTGAATTCATGTATTTGGTAAAGTCAGCTCCAGCTTTTATGAAACCTTTATGATTAGAGGCATGTTACAATGGCTTTTTACGTTTGATGTAATATGATGAATGTTGAGAAGAACAAAATTATTGTGAAGGGGTAGAATAATTTAGATAATACTTCTCAGAAGCTTTTTGTCATAAAAATTATGTTCATTTTATTATTTTTTAATTTAGTAAAGGAAAAAGAAAAAAAAAGTCTTGACTCTTCACTATCCAAATACAGTGAACATACTCGTGTGCTGTTCTCTGTGTCTTTTTTCTCTATAAATGTTTTATATTTGTAATTACTATGCGTGCGATTAAGTATTTTATCTATTTTAATCTCATAATCATTTTTTTTTTTAAATTTTAGCACAGACTAAACCAGCATTCCCAACTGTTTTAGAGAATACTAGTTCTAATAAATGTTAATAGGTGTTCCTTGGTTAGGATTCTGTAGTTAAATACATTGGGAAATGCTTCATAATTATATCCTTTAGAGAAATTATAGCTTGGGCATTAAAAGAGCTAACTCCAGAATCAGACAGACCTAAGTTTCAGTCCTCATGTACTAACTAGCGACATGACTTGAGGCAAGTTAATTTTAACTCAAGTTTTCTTCCCTGTGTAATGGAGATAATTACGGTATTCATAGATGATCTGTGTAAAGCATTTAGCCAGCCCGTATAAATGCTCTACAAATATTACCTATTATTATTATTTATATTATCATCTGTGAGAAACTCTATGCATATTTAGCATATTAAAAGCTCAGAGGAGACTAAGGAAACTTCAAGTGTTGAAATTCAGGGAGTACTCAATGTAAAATTGAAAATCACTGTGGAACCATTGTCATACAATGAAATGAGCACTGGGTTGAATGATAAAAAGATTTGTCTGAGCTTTAAGCAGTGTTGTTGTTAAACTAGCACTGTTGCCCTAAATATAACCTCATTTAAAAAAATTTCTCCAGTTTACTGTGTTTCCCCCATTTGTCTGAAGTTTAGTGAGTACAAAGTTGTGTTTAATTTGGTCTCTACTGTAAACCCAGCACATGGCTCAAAATCAGGGACTATAGGGGTCATGAACTTGAGTTATTTATAGAGACCTGGCAGTTAGTGTAAATGGCAGACAACAGGGAGTGGTGAAGTCTGTTTGCATCGTTGAAAGGCATTCGCATTCAGTTGTTTCTAACACTGTTAACTCTGGAACACAGGAGCGTCCCTGATCTGTGTGGTGACAGTTTGTAATCCCAAGAGACTAGAGATGGGACCAGACCCCAAAGAACAAACGGTTGGGTCGGATCACTGTCATCCCTCTCTATTCTCAGTATTTTAAGACTTTGTGGCCTAAATATGTGTTTTCCACTAACATTTCTCTTTATTACTAACATGCTTTCTCTTTTTTCTTTGTGTCTCATGTTTTGTTATTCACTTATTTGGTTAAAAAATAAATTCATTTTTACTGAATATTTCAAGTGATATACATTTCTCAGTCCTGGTTTTATTTGCCAATTTGCAGTTTAAAACTATTTGCCAATTTGCAGTTATAATCTAAGCAAGTATTTGTAAACTTATAGCCACGTATTTAGATTATACTTATTTTATAATATATTTATATAGTATAATTAAATAAATATATAAAATATATAGATGTATATATATAGCAAATTAGTGTCCTGAAGTATTTAAAGTTAAAGCATAAGAATTATCTAAAAGTTTATACAAAAATACATGCTTTTTTGTATTTGCGTGGTAGGTAGATAGCCATTTGACTTGCTCTTCAGTAACCCATTATCTCCTTTTATATGGGGCAGGGAGATATGTTTTTTATTGAACATTTTATTGAAAAAAACTTTCATGTAGTTTACATATTAAAATGTTCAAACTAAATTTAATAGCTGGTTGTTAAACCCTCTCTGCCAAACTGAAATTATTACCTAGTCTTAACTAGCTATAATCCTTTTTGTATTTTCAGTTTGTGATGATAATATTTTGGTTTCACAAAAACTGGGATGGCAAGTCTTTTCATTTTATATTTCCTAGTCTCTTAGCATCTTTAGACAAAAATGATTTTGAGGATTGTTCTGATTTTCTCTCATTTATAGTTTTTTATCATATCATTCAAAGTTTTACCACTGCCCTTTATCACATTGTTTCCTCTTAGTGCTTGTGTATATGTGTGTAATGTATTCAGCTCCTTTGTGTTTCTATGTTTTGAAACATGGCATTCTTTCTTCCTAAACTTATGCCTGTGCTTCAATATGTATTACAAAAGTCGTAGTTTATTTAACTCACTTTTATAAGTGTATTTTGCAGGTAGTTAATAGATTTTTTTAACACAGTAAAATTATGTATATTTTTTTCTCTTATGCTAGGATTTATGATCTCTATTTTGCAAATGATCGTGAGTCTTAGTTTGAGACTGTGTTTGTGTGGGTCAGGGCGTGAGTCTCGTGTGCTTCAGCAGCAGCTTGGCAGTGTGTGTGAGATGACTCGACCTGTGGGCCAGTTCGTGGAAACTGTTTTACACTTAAGTCAGTCTGTTTCTTATCAGTTAAGATACTAGGTTACTAGGATTTTTTCTAAAATGTATCATTAATTTCACATTCATTTTAGTATTACTCATCAAATTTTTCTTTACCAGGGAAGGAAAAGTTACAAATTATGCCAAATCAAATACTTGTTATTTCACTTATTGAATATATTTGGTCATTACTTATGTTAGACTAAAATAGAAAGACATTAAACTGAAAGAATGCTGTAACTAGGATATAAAAGTTCAGAAGAACAGAGATTTTTTATTTTAACTTTTTTTGTATGTCCATTTGTGTTTTTCTCCTGGTTTTGCAAACACTTGAGGAACAACAACAGGGCATTCTGTGTTTACTTTGGTAGAAATTGGCAGAATTTAAAAGGTGATATCTTCATTTTCAATTTTTATACCTTTTATAATATATATATAATATCAAAATTTAAAACAATCTTATATTATTTGTCCATTATTAGCCAATTTTTTCTTTATCAAAAAATTTCACCATTTATTAAGTGTGTATCATTTGTTTAAAATCAAAATGATTTCAGCAATGCTTGTGTCTTTGTTATACTTTGATAAACTGATGTTAATCAGGTAAAAAAGAGCAATTCGTAGTATTGTTAATGATTAACCCTGTCGTTTGTCATTGTGACTATTTGTCTTAATATTTGGCAGTTTAAACTTTAACATGATGAATTAATCTCAGAATGTTTGCTTAGATGCATTTTTATGCACCTTGACAGATGTTTTCCAATTTCTAAGAATTATTATAAAATTAAAATTCTAATAATTTTGTTTTACAAAGGACACAGTATATAGACTGACATTATTTCTGAGTAGGCTTATGATTAATATTGTTTTCCTCATTGTTGATCTTTTTCTTTTAATATTTTTCTTTCCTAATTTACATGTTCCTCCTTAAAATTATACGTAGTTAAATAAACAGTAGAAATATATAGTAGTAACATATAAAGAAAGAATTCAGCAGTTCTTTACTTGGGGACACAGGTGTGATACTCAGTTATAGCTTAGTTAAGCTTACTGTTATTCTTTTCCCTTAGTGTTCTCATCTGTGTTATAATATTCTGTAGTATTTTAAAGCTTTCCTTCAAATTTTCCAATCTAAAATCTGGTGAAATAACATATTTTCTGCATTTAGGAAAAAAATTGATTTCCTCTTCTAAACAGATTCAGAAGTTAGTCTATTTAACTTTTCTGTGTTTTGTTTGGTTTGTTGCTCTATATAGGAAAAGTGTTTTTCTAACATATTGATCTGTTACAGTAGAAAATGTTTTTCCTTTTAGACTGCTTGTTCACAAGTGTCCTGTACAATAAATTTATTCCTTCTACAGGATAATTTATCACTTTTATTTTTTTTCACTTAGGATTTTCTGCCGTTTCTTGGCAAAAATGGCAACCAATGATGCTGTTCTGAAGAGATTGGAACAGAAGGGTGCAGAGGCAGATCACATTATTGAATATCTTAAGCAGCAAGTTGCTCTTCTTAAGGAGAAAGCAAGTAAGAAAATTTAAAATATTCTAAGGAGATAGCTAAAATGAATTCATATGTTGACAGCAGAAAAAAATGGGTTTACCACATAAATTATTACTTCATCATCTTGATGATAACTTTTAGATTCCTTTAAAATTTTAATTTTGAGTGAATGTTCTAGGATTAAGGTAAATTAGAATTGGTATATAGTGAATATATGATATGTAGAGAAAACAATGTATTATTTCAAGACTAAGGGAAAATTAGTGTTTAAAATAAGTTGGTATAGAATTAGAGATTAAAAATGAAGAAAATTGGGTGAAATCAAATATGAACTCAAATATCTCCTCTAATCTTGTATAGAAGATAATATATACTTTTAAATTACTTTCTAGTAAAGCGTTTTCTGAAATGATTTTTACATTTTTTCCGATACCTAGAAATTGCTATATTATGTACAAAAATATCAAATCTGAGTTTCTGCTTTTAGAATTTGGGTTGATTTTTGTTTTGTTTGTTTAAGTATATTTTATTTCTCAATAGTGAATGTCATAATGAAAATTCCAAAATCTTTTACCATCACTATTAGAAATAAATGCTTTTCTCTGCTACATAAGACTGTGAATGGCTTATAAAATCCTATAGTTACTCTCCAAAATATTTTTCTCATATCAATTCTTTTTTTTCTTAATTTTAAAATACGGTTTTAATTATTTCTTTTTCATAGTGTTTTTTTAAACATTTTTTCTTCTTATTATTTTTAAAAATTTTAAAAAATTTTTCTTAAAATTCTTAATATTTCTTTCCATTAGTAAGGTGAAGAGATTAGAGATGATCAAGGCTTCTTTGTGATACAATGTATGTTATAAACTGAATTTTTTTCTCCTACGGGTGGCCCCTTCTTAGCATCTTGACTAGCGTTTCAGTTTTGCTACTTGAAAAAAAAAAGAACCTGTCTATACTTGTTGCATGTTTATTCTTCACCTTTATCATTATTTTTTGGCAGCTTATCCTGCTGGTTCTCAGTCCTGTTCCGCCTATTTTACAATAAATATTTTGTAAAATCTCTTTTAATATCCTGTAAAGAAAACACTTCTTAGATAAAATAACCTACCTGTACACATAATTTCAAAACATATATTAACCCTGTATGTAATATAGAGGAGCATTAAGAAGAAAGTAGTTTATAAATAGTAGTAATAATAAAAATGTGTATTTCAGTAAGTAAATACTTAGGCAGGACTTACTGCCAGACATATGAGAGGGTCACATGCTACATGGTTCACATCCATGGAGTCACCAAGAAGGCGACAGGTCTAATGCCAACTGATACAGGTGTGTATTTAGTCTGCCTTTGTGTGGGGAACTCAAGATACCAGAAGTAGCTTTCAGTCGTGTTTTTGATTTACTCAGAATGATGAATAGTTCTTTGGTAAAGCTCTGAACAAAACAAAGTACAGTCTACTCTTGATTTACATGGTACTTGATTTCTGAATTAGGAAATTCAGAGTATAATGAAAATGTTTAAGAATACTTCGTGTTTATATATAAAAAGTAGGATCTAGGCTCAAATAATCAACAGGATTTTCACCTATACAACTGTACAGTTCTGCAGGGTGTGAGACAGTTCTTCATTTTGCAGGAATATCTAACATGTTGCAGAACATCTGACGTCCTGGCCCCTGCTCAGTAGATGCCAGTGACAATCAGAAATACTACCGCAGGTTTTCAAAATCCCACCTAGGGAGCAGTGCCAACCCCACCGAGAATCAGTGTGTTTCCTTTAGGTGTTTGTATACCCTCTTGCTCACCTTTAACACACGTTGTACCTTGAGCCAGTCTTTGAAGTTATTTCACTCGTTGACTGTTTGACCAGCTCAATTTTTGAGGCATTTGGAATAAAAAATTAGTTAGCTACTTTTACAAGATAATGACTAGAAAAAAAGAAATGAGAATAATTTTTTATTATTTGATATCATAATTAGATTTCAGACTTAAAAAAAATAATGTATCTAATACTTGTCTCTCTTATGGTTTATCTGTTACTGACACTTTGAGCCGGATTCTTAAGTTGTCATAGAGGCTTTATAGAGGCTAGGAAAATGATTCATAAAGAAAACCTTTTCTGTTTCACTATTATTTTACAGATTTTCTCCCTTTTTTTGTCTTCTAAATATTATGTCGTTTTAATAAATACTGAACTGATATAAGGAACTGGCCAAACATTTGGTGACTACTGTTATCCTAGCTATGTTTATGCTGGCTATGTTTTTTTCAAGTAGTATTCATGAGAAACCTTTTGGAAAAAAGCTATATCTTAACTGGATTTTCTTGATCCTAGTTTTGCAGGCAACTTTGAGAGAAGAGAAGAAACTTCGAGTGGAAAATGCTAAACTGAAGAAAGAAATTGAAGAATTGAAACAAGAGCTAATTCAGGCAGAAATTCGAAATGGAGGTGATTAAATATAGAAATTATAGGCTGTTTTGATTTATAATAATAATTATTATATCATTTATTACTTATGAAGTTACATATTTGCTTGCTTTCTCATTTTATCCTCACAGCAGCCCTTCTCGTGCATTCGTCTTCCTTTACAGAAGAGAAAATGGAGACTTTAGAAGAGGCAAATAATCTTGCCTGAGGTCATGCAAAAAGTGGCAGAGCTGGGGTTCAAAACCTATGCTTTTACTCTCTGTGCTGTACTTCAGCTTGATCATCACTGTCCCTACTGAATAGTATTGAAAATACGCCATAATAATGTGTAGTTCAAATTCACTAAGTTTTACTGTATGCCAGGTACTGTGTGCCAAGTGCTTCCCATATATTACATATTTTATCCTTAAAGTTATGTGTATACAAATATCCTTGCTTTATATTTGAGGAAATTGAAGTTTAGAGATATAAAGTAATTTGCCTGAAATCATATAATTTTTAGGTTTTCCAAGTCAGCAGGTAATTATCCTTTTAACTATTATGTTGTAAATAAAATTAAAATTTTTATTTAATTATTTTAAAGCTGTCTAGGTAAATTTACATTATTTGAAAACAATAATAAGAATAATAACAGTTGTTATAATTTCAAAGTACCACATGGAAAGAGATTTGATTGTATCATGGAAACTCCTTCCTAGATGAGTTAGGGAGGCACAAGTATAGTGAAAGCCTCTCTTCTACTTCCTTTTAACCATTATTATGTCAGTGAATTATTTTGAATGCTGTAGTATGAACTCTACTCCTAGCTAAATAAAAATAAGGAAAAATCAATAATGTATGCCTAAAACTGTCAACTAGAGAGAATATTGTTTGTGAACGGAAAGTTTCAAGCTGGTTGCTGTTTTCTAAGACTAGGAGGTTTGGAATGCAGGTACTGCATTACGCACACAGTTCAAGTATCAGCAGTGTGAGAATGGTTCCATTTCTCCCGGTTCTAGAAGATCGCCCTGAAACATTAGACTTTGAAACTCTGATCTTATTAGAGAAGCGCTGAAACAAATCAACAGTCTGTTCAAGTATTGAATTCCGTCTAATGAAATGTAAAGTAGGAATAGTTGGAGCCTCACCTTACTAAAAGAAGTAGCCTCCAGGAAACTTATAAAATACCTCAGAAAAGTGGTCTGAATGTTGTGTCTAAGCCACATCAAAATCCTTTATAAGACTATATTTTTCCATGTTCACTAGGCTTATAAGAATGTTTTTAACATTGCTGAGGAATTTTCTTTGCTTTTTTAAAAAGTTGTTTTTTTAAGTAGCATTATGGACAAGTAATGCTGTCTCTCCATTAATTCTAATGTAGAAATGACTATTATTAAACCACCTCCTTCCCAGTTGATTGTTCAGTATCAAAGAAAATCTGAGTGAGAACCGTGCTGTCTTGCCGAACCGTGAGAGTGTCGTCTCTGAGACAGACTCTTGAGTGTATGTTCTTAGCCCCTCCTCACTGCACATGACGGCCAACGTCTTCTTTTCCTTGTGACTCAGGCTGATCATCTGTACATGGAGATGTGAACAGGACTTAGTGCTCAGGGTGTTCGTGAGAATTACACAAGTTAATTCATATAAAGCATTTTGAAAAGTATCTGGGACGTAGTAAGTCCATAAATATTAGCTATTATTGTTGTTATCTATAATTTTCTTAGTTTAGTTTTTAGTGATTAAATGAAAATCTTGCATTTATTTTTTTATCATGGTTAAAATATACTTAATGTCTTGGTAGCCTTTTTACAATCTCAGACAGTAGAGACTTGATAATCATATGTAGTGCGTTTCTCTTTTAAAAGGAGTTCGTTTTTGTGACTCACAGTTCTATAATTTTCATCTTGTGTGTTGGTTTAATATAAACAACATTGTCTGTTTTATTTTCTGTATCAGTGAAACAAATACCATTCCCATCTGGTCCTTCATTACAAGCTGGTTCTCCAGTTTCTGAAAATGGGATACAGTCTGTGCCAATAACAGCCATGTCTTCTGGTACCAAAGAGCAGATAAAAGGAGTAGGAGGAGAAGAAAAGAAGGTGAAAGAGAAAATGGAAAAGAAAGGTATTTTTAACCTTTAAGGTTATTTGGCTCCTGACTGGTTTATCAGATGTGAACATTTTTGATAATAATAATGGTATCAAAAAGAAAGTTCAAACTTTTATGAACTAGAATAAAGTTAGGAACAATATAACGTTGGAACATAGAAGCTGGGCCCTCAGGGATGTGTGAGATTGGCGAGGTGGACAGGTAAGAGTGTGACGTTTGAGGTAGAGGGCCTAGCGTAGCTGAAAACATAGAAAGTAGAGATTAAGTGTAGAGGCCCTCATGTAGTTTGGTATGACTGAATTTTGGTTTGTATTTGGGGGATAGTTTCAGAGAAGTCACAGGTAGAAAGTTAGCTTAGGACCAGTTGTGAAGATAGGAAAAGGATATTCCAGTCAAAGCAAAATGTCTGAAATAAGTCATGGAGGTGTTAAGGTTTTAGGAACCTGTGAGAATTAAGTGGACAGTACATCCCCATCCACCTAGGCCACCAGACTAGAAATCTTACAGTCAACCTTAACGTGTCCCTCCCTCAATTCTCATATCTAATTGGCCAACAAAGCCTGTAATTCCTACCACATGAGCATATCTAGGACCCAGCTCTGCACCTCCATATTGTTAGGTACTGCCTTAGTTCAGGTTCTCATGATCTCTCATCGGATTTAATGTTAAAGCCTCATCTTTTCTAGTTTCTCCTTACGTTGCTGCTAAAACTGTTTTTCTAATCATAAATGTGACTCCTTTTTACCTACTTTCCTCTACTGTTTTCTAGACTTTATTTTCGCAGGTATGTCTAAAAAAATGCTTTTATAATTCATTATGCATACCTCATAATACACTCACTTAAAATTTTTTTGGAAAATATAAAATGGCTGACAGATTTGTAAACTAACCTAAGCCAATTTAGCATCTAACACTCGTCAGTTCCTTTTGGTAAACATCAGTAGCCTCTGTTAGTTAGAAGTAGATAGGGGCTGTACATCCTCTCCTGCGTAACGTCACTGCTGGGTGATGTGGTTCCAGTGAAAACAAGTCAGACTATTTCTTCCACTTTATAAAATTTATTAAGAAGTAGATACGAAACAAGCGTACAGCCTGTCCTAAGTTTGGTGAAGTTCATACTCACAGAGGATGCATTGTTGTTGTGACTGTAGGATCAGTCAGCTTTCTAGTCAGATGAGACAACAGAGTCTTCCTGTGTGGGAGGAGGGCGCACACGAGACCCGTGGAGCTCTAGGCCTAGAGCGCTTCTGCTGAATGGAGCTGCCTGTGATGGTGGAAGCGCTGTGTAGCTGCGCTATCTGACAGCAGCCGACAGCACATGTGGCTGCTGAATGTTTGAAATGTGTCTCATGTGGCTAAAGAACTGAATGTTTAATTATTTTATATTTAAATGTAGATGGCTTTTTGTGGTTGACAGCTACCATATGGGACAGTGCTGGAACAGAGGGCTGTTCCATGGGCGTTTGGCTGCCAGGACTACCAGATTCCAAAATTCTGCTCATGCGAGGGCTGTGACACCCATACAGTCTTTCTAGACTGCCACATATGAGCATCACTCATTTGTCAATGAAACGTTGCTAAAGTCCCTTATGATGACTCACAAAGTTCTTGGTATAGATTTTAATGTTTGCAGTCACCTCTGGAATGTAGATTCCTGATAAAGGTATTTCAAATGTCTGTGAAATAGATTAAAGTTAAAAATATATATGGATATAGATATATCATGTTGTTATACGGCAGTATGTTAAAGTAAATTTATAGTTTATCTCTCTAAGATAACTACTATTAGATTTTTGGTGTATTGTCTTCTAGTAATTTTGTATATATATTTCTATATTGTTTGGGTTTTTACCATTAAGAGAATCTTTGCTAATATGTTACATAGAAAGTAGTATTTTTAAAAATTTGCTAATGAGATTAAAAATTGTCCATTATTTTGAACTACCTCTACCTTCTCTTTTGTAAACTATCTTTGTATAAATTGTGAATGTCCTTTACACAGAAATCATCCTTTCCCACTCCAGGCAGAATTATTCTTCTCTGTGCTTCTATATTTCTTTTTGTATGTAATGTTTATCACATAATCATTATATACATCTGTCTTCCTTAAAAGAGATTTCAGTGCCTTGATAACAGGGGCCATTCTTCTTACTGTTTCCAGTGCCTTAGAGCTCAGGAAATATTTGTTCAAAGATTAAACAAAGGTATAGTTGAGAAGGAGTGCTTCCAAGCCTCAATAGCTTTTCAGTACCTTGCAGTTCAGCAGATAAGTTTTTATTTTGTTTTACGTTTTTTTCTGCCCAAGAAGCTAAATGTAAACTTAAGTAATATGAACTCTTTACAGGTTGCATTTTGACTTAATGGCTAAGGTAATCGTAAGCTAATAAGAGTTATAACAAAAATAAAAGTAGAACTTTTAAAACATAACCATAATAAAATGTTCTCTTCTACTCAAATAGTTGCTGTGGATAAACCTAAAGCCCTAATAAGTCTTCATGGAAATATAAAAAATAGAGAAATTCATTGTATACTTATTAGTGTGTTTAATTGATGAGAGAAACATTTTATCAGTGAAATTATATTTGGTTGTAGTTCATTCTGTCAGTTGGCTACTGATTGTGGTGTTCTTTCTCAATAAAGGATTTTTCATTCTCTAAAGAGTCACAGTCAGAATTTTAAACAATTTTCTACAGCTCTGTTTCAGGGGAAGGCAAACTTTCTCTATAAAGAACCATTTAGTAAATATGTTTAGGCTTTGCAGGCCATACAGTCTCTGTCACAAGTACTCAACTCTGCCGTAGTGCAGAAGCACCCAGAGACAGTATGTAAATGAATGGACATGGTTGTGTTCTAATGAAACTTTGACAGAAACATGCAGCGGGCTGAATTTGGCCCATGAGCCATAGTTTACCAACTCTACTCTGTGTCTTTAACTAGAGAGAGATGCAGTTATTCAACAGAGAAATAGCTAAAATAGGGTTCAAGATGTTAGGACTTGAATAATTCTTTGTTGTTATTTAAGTGAAGGTAGGAGATAAGCACTCTTTTTCTCTTTTAAGCTCATTAGTATCGGTGCTATGGAGTTTTTCATAGTGTGTTTTTGTTTTTCTTCTGATGTTTACCCATTCATAAATATTTTTGAGGAGAGAAAAAGGAGAAAAAACAACAATCAATAGCAGGAAGTGCTGATTCTAAGCCAGTAGATGTTTCCCGTCTGGATCTTCGAATTGGTTGTATCATCACTGCCAAAAAACACCCTGATGCAGATTCTTTGTATGTAGAAGAAGTAGATGTTGGAGAAATAGCCCCAAGAACAGTTGTCAGTGGCCTGGTGAATCACGTTCCTCTTGAACAGGTAACCTGTACAACTGAAATGACTTCTACATATCCGTCACTTTTATTCCCTCTTTATTGATGTTTTTCCATATAATTTTGTAGCAGATGACCATATAACATGAGTCAGTATTGCTTAGTTCAGTCGATTAGTTTGAATGGATGAATTTCCTCAAAAAATGTGCATAAAACTACTAAAACCTTGCAAAAGAGCTTTAAGTTAGAATCGAGTTTGCGACAATAGAAAGAAGAAAAGATGTATTATTTTTTTCTCGATTTTAAAAAATGTTTTTAGTTTAGTATTTTGTATGAAGTACAACATATATATTTTTATCATCATTGTTCCATCGTGGAATTTTATTATTCCTTGATTTTTTTAAATCACTGTTATATACAGAAAGCACAAATCTAAAAGTAAGAGAACAAGTTTTATTTCTTTAAACTCAAGAAATATTTTCATACTTAAAGAAAAAAGAGAAGGCATCATGGAGATTGAATTTGCAATTTTTAATGGTATTCTTTTATTTGTTAAAAATTGTATTTTGTTGTCACTTAGGTATTTAAAAATATATATGTATATTTTCAGTGACAGTGGAAAGAATCAAAGATACTAATAATTTTTAATTTGCTCTTTCAAGACATGTTCAATAGTAAATTGGATCAACTACCTATTTCCTCTGCCCCATGGTGCTTCAGAATATTGCAAAGACCAGAGACTTCAGTATTAAGATAGTTCTGCCTCTCTGTTTATTGCCAACTCTATTGCTTATTGGCTTTGTGAACTTGGACAGATTTCTTCATTCATTCATATTTCTAGATGCAAATATTTATTCAGCACCTACAATGTACCAGGAACTATTCTAGGCAAGGGATACAGCATTGAATTAAGATAGATAGATAGATAGATAGGTAGAAAGCAAGAAAGAGTTGTTTAAAAAACAATTCTTTTTCTGCCTTTGTGAAGTTCACATTCCTATGTGGGAGTCAGAAAATATTAGTATATAGTATGTTAAATAATGATAAATATCAAGAGAAAAATAAAGTAGGGAAAGAATCCAGGAAGTATTGAGTCTAGGATGATGATGTCATTTTATATAAAGTGCCAAGGGCAGGCTCATAAAGAAAGTGACATTTAAGTAAAGGTCTAAGAAAATGAAGAAAACAAGTGTCTCTGGTAGAGGAGCATTTCAGGCAGCCCTGAGTCAGATGTATGCCTGGGATGTTCAAAGAACAGCAGGAAGGATTGTCACTACAGCAGAGTGATAAGGGTGAATGTCATGCAAGATGAAATCAGAGATAAGGGTGGCAGATGCCATAGGGTCTTATAAATCATTATAAAGACTTGGGCTTTTATTCTGAGTGAGATGAAAGCCATTGGAGGATTTTTGAGCTCAGGAGTAACATGGTCTGCCTCACATATTAATAGGATCATCTGGCTGCTCTGTCGAGGGGAGAAAGATGGAAAAGGACATTAGTGAAGTTTCTCTTATCTATGCAAAAAAGATAGACTTGGCACATATGTCTGCTTTTTTTCTTTTTAGCATTCATCTCGTACAGGACCAACTCCTTCAAACTACTTAAGTTAGGTTCATAAGGAGCCCTGGAGAAAAGAACCAACTGATCTTGAGCCGGCTTAAATTGGAAAAACTCCTCTTCACTGGAGCTTCATCTTTTTTGTTCTCATAAGCTGCAGACTATTTCTTCCCTTCCAAAAGCTGTCATTCACAGCCATAAACAAAGCTATTTATATACACATCTGTATTTAACCCATCCAGGCAGTACTGGGAAGCATTCTTTGAGGCAGAGGCACTTAGCCCAAAAAATTGCATACTAAATTTTGTAGATTTGTGTGTTTTTCTAAGGCAAAGGTCCACAGCTATCATCTGATCCGTAAAGCATTGCATCTAGCTAACCCTGTTGTTTTCTTACACGTATTTGCTATAACTTTTTTTAAGTTCTCATATATGTGGCATCTTCAAGTTATTTGTTTGAAGAAGAGTCTTATTCATGAAGACTTCCAAAAAGGGGACCTTTTGAATTTGAATCTTATACCCATTTTTTTTTAAATCATAGAATTTGGGGATAAATTTGCATATAACATTTATTTATAAAACCATCTTTTATCTAGAATATGTCTTTTCTTCCCCCCTGCAGTGATAAACCTCTTGTATGCTATTTTATTTTAAACCTGTTGAAAGAATTTAAACAACTGTGTTCCTTATTTTTGCTAGTTGGGGAAAAAATTAAAAGACACTTCAACTTTTGAAAGTTAAAGAAATTTCTGTTCACTTCTATCACAAATTGTAGAAATAGCCGTAGGGCCGGCCCCATGGCGTAGCAGTTAAGTGCACGCGCTCCACTACCGGTGGCCCAGGTTCAGATCCCGGGCACGCACCGATGCACCGCTTGTTGGGGCATGCTGAGGCGGCGTCCCACATAGAGCAACTAGAAGGATGTGCAACTGTGACATACAACTATCTACTGGGGCTTTGGGGAGAAAAAGGGGGAAAAAAAAAAAAAGAGGCTCATTCTAAAAAAAAAAAAAAGAAATATCCCTAAATGTTAATCACAGTGTGCATAATACTTGAACTGTTAAATGATCGGTATTTTTCAAATTAGGAAATGAATCTTGCATAGTATTGGAAATGACCAAATGTGTAGGGAACAAAATGTGCATTTATTTTAGTGCTGATGCTAAGCTAAGTGCTTTGCATATGCATTATGATATAATCCTTGTGACAACTATTTTAAGTTCCATATCATTTCCTTCATTTTGTGAGGAAATGGAGATCAACTTCATACAATCTCATTGCTGGTACATGCAACTGAAATTCAAAACCAAATCCATTTCACTTGTTTATTTATTTATTCATTTAATAAATATTTAAGTTCTGAAAGCTTTGCCTCTGCTTTTTCAACTATAGTGCGTTGTTAGTTTGTAGAATTTTTTTTTCATGTTTATATCAGGCTTCATAACAACAATAAAAGATTTTGGACACACAAAGACAAAGATATATCTACAGAAATAAAACATTTGATACTTAGCTAGTAGATGTACTTTAATGTACTCTAAGTATGATTATTCTACATCTCTGTACATCTTTAATCACCAGTTTATGTTGCACACAGATGCAAAATCGGATGGTGATTTTACTTTGTAACCTGAAACCTGCAAGGATGAGGGGAGTCCTGTCTCAAGCGATGGTGATGTGTGCTAGTTCACCAGAGAAAGTTGAAATCTTGGCACCTCCTAGTGGGTCTGTTCCTGGAGACAGAGTTACTTTTGATGCTTACCCTGGTAAGTATTTTTCAGTCATTATTTAAAATAGTTTGGGAATCATTGTTCTCAAAGCAATACTTATAATGTTTAAGTTTAAAATCAATCCTATGTATGACTCACAAGGCTTTACATTAAATGACCATTATTATTTTTTGTGTGTGTGTGAGGCAGATCAGCCCTGAGCTAACATCCGTGCCAATCCTCCTCTTTTCCCTAAGGAAGATTGGCCCTGGGCCAACATCCGTGCCCATCCTCCTCCACTTTACGTGGGACGCCGCCACAGCATGGCCCAACAAGCGGTGCGTAGGTGCGCGCACGGGATCCGAACCCTGGCCGCCAGTGATGGAGTGCGCACACTTAACTGCTATGCCACGGGGCCGGCCCCTAAATGACCATTATTATAGAGATTGTTATTATTGAATTTAGTGAGCTTGGCTCAAGATGGCACATGAAGCACAACCATCTAACCATCCCCCTCCCCGAGAATGCACAAATCACATAAAACACCAGAAAGGTTTCGCCCTAGGTAAAATACTAATAATAACACTTACATAGCAAAAGAGTGCGATATGCATAGAGAACAAATTAATGTGCTGCAAAATCATTTAGGCTGTAGATTATCTCAGATGGAACACCGAAAGACGAAGAGATGAAAAGTTCAGACATGAGGGGGAAATGTATAATTCTCGTAGTCCATCTAGTAATATACTTGCATATGCTTTTACTTGACTTTATGATATAGAGAAAATCTCTAAATTAGAACTCATATTTATTTTAATAATCTAAAAGGAAGTTTCATTTCATATTGCTTGTTTTCTCCACTAAAATGCTCCTGAGACAGATGAAGCTTCATAAAGCATGAGAAAGTTTCTTCAAATAGGTCTTTGAAGCAGAAGAGAGAGGATGCTTGGCAGATGTAGAATAAGTATTTCTTTCACAAAAGAGGGAGGACTTCATAAGAGGAAAAACAGTTAGAAATTAAAAGGCCGCAGGGCCAGCCTGGTGGCATTGTGGTTAGGTTCGTGTGCTCTGCTTTGGTGCCTTGGGGTTCATGGGTTCAGATCCCCCTTGTCAAGCCATGCTGTGGTGGCATCCCACATACAAAATAGAGGAAGATTGGCACAGGTGTTAGCTCAGGGCCAATCTTCCTCACCAAAAAAAAATAAAGTAAAAGGCTGCATTTACTTAAAGGTTGTTCATTTGACTAGAGTAATGGGAAAAGCAGAAATAAATTAGGGTAACAAGTAGAATTAGATTTAAAAGTTAGAATTGATTTGGAGACATATTTGTAGAAATAGAGTTTTAATGGAATAGTAAGGCAGATGTGATTATATAGGCCTTTATTTTTAATCCTTTGTTAACTGTGTTTGATGAAATATTAGAATGTGAAGAATTTTTAACATTGGAATAAGAAAGGAAATATGGGTGAAAGCTTGGGTTAATTTTCTTGAAACTCAGCTCCCCCTCCTAATCAAAAGTAGACTAATCTAAAAAACACAGGGATTGTTTTACAAGTATCCATGACTTTGAATGCATGTATGTGTCTTGAATCTTGGTAGACTGGAAACCATAATAGACTGTGCTATAAGAACCTTTTTTGGTACATTAGGTTTTGGGAAAACCCCAATCTGAATCATTTCTCAAAGCAACGTGATGGTTTTAGGTTTTAGGAGCATACGATCACCTCTCCTACCACAATATCAAAACACTTCCCCGAACCTCACACTTTGGATTGAGCCATCATGTGTATGCCTGACAAACCTGAAATTCACTTTAGAAGTCTCATTCACTAAACTGGAATAGAAAGACAAAAAAAGTAAATTTTTTCTTTGCATGCATTGATAAAACAACAAATAAATGTTGGATTTTTTTCAAGATTAACATTTGCCTTCGTTTTTATTTAAATACTTAAGATTTAGTACATTTTTTTTTGTTTTATTTTTTGATATAAATGGTAGAGTTACATGTTTAGAACTGAAGAAATCATCTTCTTTAACCCACTATTTTACAAATTTGGAAACTGAGGCTCCACAAACCTTAGTTACTTGCTTAATGTTATATAGAGTTAGTAGAAGGATCAAACAACAGATGTGCCTGAATCTCTAATACTGTCACATTTTTGTTAGTTGATTGTTGCTTGCTGTGAATTAATATGAACTATTTCATTAATGAAGCCGGTAGTTCTTTTATTTCTATAACAGCTCTCATTCCCTTGCCTCATAGAACAGGTAAATATTTCAGCACTTGAATCAGTTGTTATTATCTGGATGTTACTATTGAGTAAATGGAAAGAAAGTTTTTCTTTAGTCGCTCAGTGACTTAGCGTTAGAGACGCTAATAGCCCAGTATGGATTTCTTGCCTTTACTGTATTCTTGAATCTCTCAGTTTGGCTATTTGTGTGTCTGTGTTTATGTTGTTCCAAGTCTGATATTTCTTCCAAATTCATAGTTTCCCCTTGTGCCTTAGCACATGGATATAGATATATGGAGAAGGTACAGAATATGTTTGAAAGTGAGAGAAGGGAAAGCCCAGCTGTCCAATGGCCCGTGAGGTTGCTTGACTTATTCTCTTATCCCTTATAATGGGCTTCACCAAGCCGAACAGCGTTGGATAATTCATCGATTTGGGGACATGAGGTCTGTGAATACTCATCTTACTTATGCTTCCACGTCAGTTACTGCTTCTGTAGCAATAAATCTGAGAGGAAATAACAGTTAATACTACGCAACAGACCATTAGTCTTCCTGTTTTTTTCTTTTTCCAGAGAGAGCCATGATTTATCAGTGCTTTATTTTTCAGCATCTGTTTTACATTTTAAATCTTAAGGTGTCTGCTGGTACATTTTGATGTTCACTTGATGTGCTCAGTGTCTAGAGATTTACATTTCATGTTGTATATGTTAAATGTGTATAGAAATTGCCATTGAGGCTCAAACCTTTGAATTGCTGTTTGGCCTTGAAAAGGCTTTTACACTTAACAACTATTTTCTCCAACTACAAAACCAAAAAATTCCATAGAGTTTAGAAGATGCCAGATAATATTTTTATCAATGGCTAAAAACTCTCCCCACCCAGTATTTCTTAAATCTTAATTTGTGAAGCTATAAATTTTAGTATTTAAATATGGTAAACTGATCCCTAAAGCACCAAGCAAAAATAACTTGGAAATAATATTACAGCTAGGAGACAAAGGCAATGACAGCCGTTCTTTGAGAATGTTCTGGTTTTGGTCCAATAATAAATGAGAATTTGCATTCAGACTTTTAACTTCCAAGATCATTCTTATTTCTATTGATACTGAGTCTTATTAATAAATTTAAGTTAATGGTTAATCACAAAGCGTGTATGGTATGCAAGAGTGTTTAACTTTTCGACCCATTTATTCTTTAAAAACAAAACCAAAAACTTGTCTATATTTAATTCTCTTTAAAACCTGTTTCCATCAGATTTCTCTCCACTATTCCACCAGAACTGCTCTGGTCAAGATCACCAATTACTCTCTGTAGCTAAAGAGGCAGGCTAGTTCTCAGTCCTTTTCTTAATTACTTTGGCGTGTGGCACCACCCTCTCTTGGTTTTCCTTCTGCTTCACTGGCTGCCCTTCTCATTTCCTTTGCTAATTCTTCCTCACCTCCCTGATCTCTTAACATCGGAGTGTCCCAGACCTTAGTCTGACTTCTTCTCTTTTTCTTTCCATGTTCATTCACTTGGCTATTATATCCAGTCACTTATTCTACTGCCTACTAGACTTCTTTGCTACCATGTCCCAAGGCAGAATACATACCCAATCTGCCTAGAATTCCCTTTTCCATTGTATTTCCTGTCTCACCTGACAAGAACTCCATTCCCCAACTGCTTTTTATGTTCTCACACTTCTCCTCCTTCAGAAAATCCTACTGGCTGGACCTTCTGAACATTTCTAGAATCATTCTCATCATCACCACCACCACCACTTTGATCCTAGTGCCAAATCTCTTACCTTGATGATTGCAAAACCTGCTGACTGATCTTCTGCTTTTGCCTTTCTTCTGTTTTCCGTTATAGCAGACAGAGTGATGTAGGTCAGATTATATTACTCCTCTGCTCAAAACTGTTCAGATCCTTCCATCTGACCCAACATATAAACCCAGGTCCTCACAGTGGCCCCCCTTATCTCATGTACTCCAGCACTTCCTTCATCACTCCAGTCGGGCCGCTGGCTCTTTCCCCATAGCTACATGGCTTAGTCTCTCATCCTATTTGAATCTTTCAGATGTCATCTTCTTTGTTTCATTTTTCTCCAAAACACTTATCATCATCTAATATACTGTACATTATTTATTGTCTGCCCACACAGAAATGTAAGCATCGTGAAATCAAGATTTGTTGTTGTTGTTGTTGTTATTCTCTGCTGTATTTCTAGCATCTAGAAAAATGCCTGGCATAGAGTAGGAGCTCAATAAATTGGCTAATGAATAAATAGAAAGGAATGTACTAGTAAAACATGTTAAAAAAAAAAACCAAAACAGGATTTGGAGAATAGACTTGAGTATCTGCCTTCATTATTGCCGAGATCATTCCTATCAAACCACCAAACCACTTTTCTGTATTGATTAGCTTTGTAAAATTAATTAACTCTGTTTACAAAGTTATGTATTTGTACCACAAATGTGGTGATGGTTATAATTTTTATAGTTCAAAAACTCAGTTAATCAAACGTAAAATAATTAAGTTAGTGCTAGGCTTTTTGTGGCCATGGCAGATACCAAAGAGAAGCTAATGATTGGTGAGCATTCTTTGCGAAAGAAGGGCCTAATGAAAATGAAGTTTCTGGTTCTTATTCCAGACTTGTGAATGCCTGGAACTCTGGAGTTTGTATTTATTACTTTTTGTAGGTTTTAAATGCTGAGGAAGTGGTCACAGTTTTTAAATCCGTACAAACTCCTCTCTGACTAGTTCCTGTCCCTTGTGTGTTTCGTTTAGAATGAGTTGGCCTAAAATAATCTCTGAATGATTAGTTCTCTTACGATATGTGTGACCATTTCCAAATAGTCATTATTGGCATGTGTTTAGCATTATCGGAGGCTCTACGGTTTTAACTTGGAGAACTTTTATTAATATCATCATTTACCTTCTTTGAATAGCCATGCCAAAAAAAGAAAAGAAAATTAGGAAAGTAAGATTTAGAAGAAGGATAAAGCACCCAGGAATGATGAAAAACTTCTCTGGAAAATATAGTTCATTAAAAAAAAAATTATTTGAAATAATAGGTATGTTTTTCATGGGAGGTAATGTTAAGCTTTGGTTTCGACTAGCTCTGTACCCTACCAAGTAGTACGTTGTTGAGAAACGTTTTGAGTAAGTGAGAAGGTTAACACTCTATCCAAGACTTTTCGACTCTGGTTTATATTCACTGATCATAATCTGACAGGTTTTAATTATAATCTCAAAACTCTAGTTGTCTGAATCCTTGTTTCCTTTATTGACCTGTTGAAATCTTGCACCTGCAATCAAAGGGTTCAGGTGTTGAGGCTGGTGTGTTAAAAGCAACAGTCAAGCTTTGGAGGTTCCTCTTACTAGTTGCTAGTTTATTTTTAGTTCAGGTCTTTGTCCCTTGAAAATTATTACAGTCTTATGTAAAAACGTGAAAACTTTCAGATTTTGGCTCCACAAGTGCTGGGTGACATGGGAACCTTTCTGAGCCTCAGCTTTTTCATGTCTAGGAAGGGGTTTCTAATGGTATCTACTTCATGTGCTTTTTGTCAGGCTTAACCTTTGAAACACTTTGCTGCCTGCCTGGTATTTTAAGTAACTTTTGTGCCTCAATATCCTCATCTGTAAAGTGATGGTAGTTAATAGTGTTTATATCATGTTCTGAGAGGATTAAATGAGTAAATGTATGTAAATCGCTTAGTGCAGGGACAGGCATGTAGTAGTAGGTAGGCACTGTGTGTTATGTGTCATTATGAATATTACTGTCTGTTCATGTCAGTATCTGCCTAGATGTGAGAAGCTCAACTTTGGGCTGCACCACAGGTTTTTGTACTTGGGGCTTATGTCTGCATTCAGCAAGAATTTACCCACACGATCCGTGCTCTTGATGAGAAGCTTTTACATGGATCTGGGACGCTCTGCTTCTTGGATTAATTCATTATCAGTTTGGCAGTATCTTTTTTTTTGGAGGCGGGGATTCAGATTTAGTACTCAGGCCACCCTAAACAGTATCTTTGACTCCAGCTTTTCAGAATCTGGAATGCCCATTTCCCCAGGTGATCTGGGTACAAGCAAAGTAGGATTATGCTCTTAGACTCAGGAATGGAATCTTGTAGATACTTTGTATATTGGTGGGTTTTTTCCTATTCTGTTTGTTAATTAGTTTCTCTGTTGTCCAACCAAAGGCACTTAAAGAAGTAAGAAAAATTCTCATCTTTTACACTAGTTAGTGTTTTAGTTTCATTGCATGTTCTTTGACTGTAGATACATCATTCAGTTAACTATTCTGTCATCTCTGAAAACCTGCATATCAGAGGACAGTTTTGTATGTTCTTACCAGTTTCCTGGCAGTTTCTGAAGAGCTAATAAAGAACAAAACCACCATGGCCAACCAGTTTACTCAGTTTTGTTATTCCTGTATATGTATAGGTGGAGAATAAACACCAGTTTAGATAGTAAGATGTAACCAGAATATAGACTATAATTAGTTCTAGTAATGTTTGAAACATTCTTTTTGAAGTAATTCTAAGAGATTTCAACTTGGGAGTCACTTTAAAAAAATCTAGAAAGTTCTATTTCTGTCATTATTGAATTACACTTTAGTAATATTCTTTTTATCACCTCCAAGAAAATCCATTTGAAGCTAACATTTAAGAGATACATTACTTTTCTTCATTGTTTCTTGAACTAATTCTTCATCCCCAATGTTATTGAACATCCCCGGCTACCAAAATGGTGTTATGTTAAACTTTACTCTCTACTTCCTTATCATTCATTAAATAGAGGGATTGCTTGGTATGTTGGTGGTCTTTAAGCTTAGACCAGATACATGCTACAACGTGTTTGTCTTTTACTGATTGTAAACTTTATCGTGTGAGTTACTATAAAGAGAGGGGTGGCGTATTGTCCACATGTAGGAATGTCATTTGTTTCTCTTCTGAAGCCTAGTTTATCAGGAGGCAGGGTGCTCCGCTAGCAGGACGTGGGCTTTGGTGTCAGCTCCTGGCCCCACTGGTTGATTGTGATTGTGTGACTTTGAGCAACTTATCCTCTCTGAGCCCCCACGTCTGTATGTTTAAGATTAGAGTCAGTGTTATTGTGTGAATTGTGTGCAACAACAAATATTCCTGGTGCTTAGAAAATGCACCTTGTCTCCTTACCACCCCTTTCTGTCTCTTTCAATCTCACCAAATGGAATGAGCAGCAGATAATACCCAGAGTAGTTACCATATTTAGCTAGATAATCCCACCTTTTAAGCCATTCTCCAGTGTTAATAAGAAATCTTTGGGTGCTATAGCAGCAATCTAGTCATTTGTTTTGTATGCTGAAACATAGTAAACTGCTTCTGCCATGTGTAAAAATATAACACATCAAATTATGCTCTCATCTCTTCACAATTTTTCTTTATATATAGTGATAAAATGAGTATCTTATATTTTTGTTTCAATAATTTGGGGAATAAATTTGGTGCATTATATTACCTGCAAAAATATTTATTATAAGAGTAAAAAATATTGTCTTTAACATTTGGAAGGAAATGACAACATATTTTATTTTATTTTACTAATCAAGAATATGAACTGCTGGCATCATAAAAATAAAGTAAATGTTAAAATTCTGATCAGGTCTAAAGACCGGAAAGTGCTGCCAAGACAATCCACTAGAAATCTCTATGGACAATTTATTTGATATGTTAGTGATGTTAATTTTTTTTTTCCCCAACAGGAGAGCCTGACAAGGAGCTGAATCCTAAGAAGAAGATTTGGGAGCAGATCCAGCCTGATCTTTACACTAATGATGAGTGCGTGGCTACATACAAAGGAGTTCCCTTTGAGGTGAAAGGGAAGGGAGTGTGTAGGGCTCAAACTATGAGCAACAGTGGAATAAAATAAAATGCCTCAGTTACTGAAGTACATTGGAGAAAACTTTAATAACAATAAAAAGAAATATATTTGTCACTTGTACCTAAAATATAACTGGCTCATTTTTGTGTTATTTCTCTTCTAGGCTTGACTAGCCTTTTACCTGGTATATATTGTTTTCAATTGATTGGAGAAACACTACATTTTTACCTATGGTTTTTGATACTTCATAATGTGGGGAGGAAATTGCTTATGTTTTGTGATGATTTACGTTTTAGCAGGGATGTTGGTTAGCATTGTTTCATAGATTATTTCTTCTTTATACATTTAGATTACTTGAACTAGACTAACATTTAGTTTCTTGTTTGTAGGCACATGATGCATGAAATTTCAAGCCCTTGGATTTTTAGTGCATTGTATATCTGTATTATAAATGTCCTCTCCTTTTCAAAAGTGGCAAGTTGTAATTTTTATCAGGCTTATTAACTAGTCATAGTGTAATAATGTTGAAAATGACCAACTTGATTCTAGAGAGCCAGAACCTCATAAAGCCAGGAGACGTGGCGTTTGAACATTACTGCTGTTGCTTGCCAAGGTAACCCAGACTTGTATACTTAAGTTGACTTTTGTAAAAGACTGAAATTTCCAACTGTGTATTGAACTTTTTCTTTCCATTTAGCAAGATAATTCATAATAAATTTTGGCCAACTCTAAAGAGGAAACACAATTCAAAGTATTGCCAATGTAGTTTCCAATATATTGGCCATAAAAGTAGCAGTCTGTTTTTTTTCTAGCTGATTTATAGAGATTCTTTGGGTACTTAATTAAAGATTATTTATAGGTTATTATCTTTAGAAGAGCATTTAAGATCGCTATATTTTACTTTTTCATTTACTACCATACTGTCAATATATTAAAAGAAATTGTAGCCCAAAACTTAACATACATATGCCTTAAGGTGTCAAATGCCTATTTTCACTCATCTTACAGATATTATAGGAACAATGAAAATTAACTTAGGAATTATGAGCTTCAAGTTCACCAGCCTTGAGCCCTTGACTGATGATTTGGGCAACCAAAAAAGAAAAGCATCAATGGAGGTAGGAGTATAGATATTGTTTAAAAGGAAAATCACACACACAATATTCTAGCACTGTAGCTGTTTATAGCCTCCAAAAAGAAGGAGAGGCAAAACAAATTTTAAGACACCCTGCGTGCAGAGTCATAAAAAGTATAAAGTTCATTTATTTAAGTCCATGGAGTTCTGGTAGGCCAGGACATGGTACCATCATAGATGTTTTATCTTCTTTCTGAAAAACTGAGTGTTAACAGAGCATCATGAACATCTGCTGCGAACTAAAACGAATTTCAAGTTATTTTGTACCCAAGATACATTATTCTTTTGAGCATAAAGACTCTGTGACAAAGTCTTTTGTGATTCTGGCGTATTTTCTAATTTTTCCCAATTATATTAAATTTCTTTAAATAATTCTAATACAATTTAAAGAATGTTTCAACTACTTAGATAGTTGAGATATTTATTCCCAATTTTTCCAGTAACATAAGAGAATTACTCAATCAGGTTATCAATTTAGCCCCATTCAGTCTTTATTTTTACAGAAAACTTAATTCTGTTTTATTTTTATTGCTGGGATGAGAGAGATCTTATGGAATCAACAAAAAAAAAAGGAATTGTTAGTGAACTGGACATAACTCTGGCTTCTGACTAATATCCAGCCCTTGAAGGATTTCAGCAATAGGGGATGGTGTTAGGTCACAGGCTAACCGGCTGGTGCCCCTTGACATCTATTTGTATATTGCAAACTAAACCAGAATAAAGAGCCGACCCTCCCCCAAGATACTTTTCTCATGCAAGGTTGGCCCACTATCTTACAGTGAATGTTGGAAGTACTAACTTTTCTTATATTTAGAAATTCCATATGTGTTATTCTTTTCAGATGAGTCATTTTCAGAAAAGGGTGATTTTAATATAAAATTGGAAATTTTTTCCCTGCCTTGCTTCTACTAAGAACATTAAGTACTTAATGGGTACAAGAACATTAAGAACAACAAACAGATAATTTGTTGTTGTTTTTCTAAAATATGTAAATTCCCATTTAGACTCTTTACAAAATGTTCAAAGTAACTCATGGAAGATTAATAAGAAGCGTGTCAGCAAGATAGAGGGTGTGGACAGGGCCTCATAGAGCAAGTGAGTTTAACCAGATCCCAGAGTCTGGGTCCTAGCTTTGCAGGTCCAAAACCGTGCATTTGTACATGACTCTCAGGGATGCTAAGAAATCCAGAGAGCTTAGTAGGATTGGGTTTGAAGCCAGGTTACTGAGTTTAGATTGCTGGCTCTACAACTTAAATGCCTGTGTGACCTCGGGCAACTGTTGAGTCTCTATATACCTTACTTCCCTCATCTGTCAGATGGGTGTGATAACAGCACTTACTTCATAGAGTTGTGAAGCTTGTGTGTGTCAGTACCCACAGAGTACTTAAACCAATGCCTGGAATATGAGAGATATATATTATGTTGATACCAGTTTATGATGGGCATGTTCCTTTCCAGAAGCTAGTGTTCCTATCTCTTTTGTCTCCTTTCCTGGTATCACATTTCCTGAGAAGTTGAATCCTTGTTCAGAAGATTACTTGGTATATATGAATTGAGCAGAGTATCTTAAGGAATGTTTCATACAGGCTGTGGCCTTGTCTTTTAACAGACTTGATTGTTCCTCTATACCAGACTTAGTATCTCCTCCCTCACTGCAAATATTCATTACTGAAACACTCTCCCCTCCTTGCACTCCCACTGAAATCCATTTTTTGGATATTTAGATGTTGGCCAGCCCTGTTCATTAATGCCCTTTCACTGGTTTACTATTGTTGATAAAGTTTCAAACAGTTTTGCAATTTTCTTAGACTAGGAAGACAGTATTTCTAACTATGGTATGTTCGTTTAACATAAATAGAAGCAATCATGCTTTCAAGTTCTTGGTGAATGGGGGAGCACCTCACTATTGCTTATAACAGGGGCTTTAAAGGGTCATGAGTATACCTCCTCAATTTCTCAGGAAAATTATATGTTGTGCGTTTAAAAAGATAAAATGTCAGGAAGCCAGCCTGTTGGCACAACGGTTAAGTTTGCAGGCTCTGCTTTGGCTGCCTGGGGTTCGCAGGTTTGGATTCCAGGCACAGACCTATGCACCGCTTGTCAAGCCATGCTGTGGCAGGTGTCCCACGTATAAAGTAGAGGAAGATGGGCACGGATGTTAGCCCAGGGCCAATCTTCCTCAGCAAAAAAAAAAAAGGAAGAAGATTGGCAACAGATGGTAGCTCAGGGCTAATCTTCCTTAAAAGAGAAATATATATATAAAATATCGGAAGTACCCAATATTAGCTGTGTACTTTGGCTACATAAATTGTGACACAAGTCCTGGTTCTAAGTGCTGTGCAACAATGTGAAAACTAAAACTTTATCACCAAAATACAAAATAAAAACTAGGGAGGGAAATTAACGTAACTCAACTAACAATAATATTGCAGATGGCTGTCTTGTGAGGAAAGCTTTGCCCTCCAGAATTTTAGTTAAGGAATAACTATGCCCTTCTCTAAGGAAAGTTAGGGGGATATATTAATATTAATAATATCTGTCTACTATCATGGATTTTATTATAGAATTATATTAAGATATGTAATGCTTTATAGCTAACAAAGAACTTTCACATATGTTTCTGAATTTCTTAACTCCTACGAGGTAGACCAGCCATTTTACCTTCAAGAATCAACAGAAAAGTTAAATGCCTGTGTTAAGGTCTAACTAGCTGAAACGAAGATCTTCTTCCAGCTCGTACTAATCCTGTGCTCTTCTCCATTGCAGTACACTCCCCTCCACGTCAGCGAGTCACGTGGCTTCTTTTATTTGAATAAGAGGTTTACCTTTTGTTTAAACTGTAGGGAAAGATAGTAATAAATAAAAACTCTAAACTGTAGTAGTTCATGTAAGGAGATTAGAGTAGCTCCTCCTTTAGTGGAGCATTTAAGAGATTCTAAAGAGAGATGAGATCATTAAACACTCCTTTGGAGTGGTTACGAAGAGAATTTATCCAGTTTTTTCTTTTTGCTGTGGAAGTTCTTAGGAAGAATCACCTGGCAAAACCAGGCTGCTACTGACAGCGGTTGCCTTCTGAAGAGCATGAGCCTTGATTCTTGGAGTTGTGCCCTGTTGCTGAGGGCACTTGTCCTGCAGTGGCAGTCCCTCCCACAGCCAACCTCTGAGGGAGGTCACTGTGCTGCATGTAGATAGATAGGTAGGTACATAGGTAGGTAGATGGATGGATGGATGGATGGATGGATGGATAGATAGACGTTTAAACCAGGAACAACTCTCATAGTTATACCCCATTTGCAGTACTACTTGGATGATAACTCCAAAATTTGCAATAATAATGAAAAGAAGGATAGTTGCTGATGGCTGATATGCCTCTATACAAAACTAGATCTTATTTGGATACCAACTCGTTGGAATGCAAAAGAGTTAGTGACTTACACGGTCTTGCTTATTGCACTTTTTGTAGTTACGATTTTTCCTTTGGATAAGTCTTGGCAGAGATAATTCATAGGAGTATAACTTCAAAAAAAATTTGGAAAAAGGACCCAGAACAATGAAATAATTGTTGGTTTGAAAGTAAGCCATCTGGAATTTCACAGTGTGAATTAATTATTGTATATTATATTTTTTCACCCTCATGTATTCCCTTGTTTGTTTTTTTCCTTCCTCTTCCTTACTCCCACCCTGCACCTAACACACACTATTCCCAGTTCTCTGGATTTTTGAGTAAAATATGTGTGTAATTGTTATTTCATGTCTTCATCAACATCATTTCCTATCTGGCAGGCTAGTGCTCTTAGCAACAGCAGCAGAAACAAGCCAACGGCTCAATAATTGCAAGAAAAAAGAATAATCCTTTTTAATGAAGGGGCTGACTATTCTTCTCGCCTTTCCCATCGCTACATAATGTCTGCAGAATTGTTCAAATAGCAATTATTAACGTCTGCCCATTTCCACAATGGCATTCATGTGATGAGCCTTCATATCAAGGCTGCTCTGACAAAGTTTTAAATTTGTGTTTGTAAATTGCCTCATTAGAATATCATACATCCCAGGAGATAAATGCTCTAAATATATGCATCCACTTAACTTTTCAGCCCTGAGATTACATATTTGGCTGATACTTGTTAATTTAAAACCCACTCAACTTTTCACACCTGGGGAATTTGGAAAGAACAGTGCAGGAGTCATCCAAAATCAACACCACAATTTGATTTCTCTTTGAAAAAAGATTAATGAAAAATGCAAACTAAAAGTCACTTTCAATAAGTTTAGCAAAAGAGAATGATTTTAGTAGAAATAACTTTTTTCCATAACCTTTAGTTTTCATATGAAAGGATAACATTTTCTCTTAAAACACCACATGCTGTTTGAAAACAAAAATTTGGGGTGCTTGTGAAAAGGGACTTATTTTTTAAATAAAGTTTGAGTGAGAATCTGGGAAATAACAATGTCACTTAAAAACATTAGCCTTTTGTAAAAGAAGTGTAATATGCCTGAAAATCGGTAGAACAGAGAATGTAGGCAAATTCTTTATGAAAAAAGGCCGAGTATAGATAAATATAACTAAAGAAAGAAAATCTGAAATTGCTAGTTGAGGTCCTACACCTAGAAGAATAAGCCCTGGTAGGGGCAGAGCTGGAGAGAACTGGGGTGAATCACTAATGCCCTGGAGTGGGATGTGCTAATGAGACTTGACCCCAGCTGCATAGAGGTATCAAGTGTTCTATCTTCCAGTCCTCTGACATGTTGAGAGCTTTCAGTTGTAAAGTTTAGTAGAGATTTTTGTCTTCTGGGGGAGAATAGCATACAGATTGGACATCTGGAGGGACATGAGGAAAGATTGCAAATTAGGAAGGAGTTTGTTCAGCGGATACACATGAACTGTCATCCAGAAAAAGTGGGACAACTCAGCTTCAGGTGGAGCACAGCAGCAAGACGTTCACTTCAGTGCCTCACCGTTCGTTTGCTTCCATTACCCCATTACCAGCTGACACGTTGTTTTCCGACGT